GACCAAGATTACAGATATCTGGATCCAACCGATAATCTTAACGTTAACCGATACAGATCTAGTTTTTTTAAAATCGTTGTCCGTGGGATTCTGCCATGAGGAGGTGCGACAACTCCACCACTTCACTAAGTCGCCACATCCTCTCTTTAACATAACTTTGTTAATAACATGTTTAAGAATAGATTTATGCAAAAACAATTGAAAAAAGTAAGGCAATTTGCTCTAGATATCTAAAAACATTCAACATATTTATTACTATTAAAATATATATAAAAAGTGATAAATAACCTATTTATTATTCTGATAACTATCCTGATCACTAATTTCAAAAAAAAAATTTAATAATTAATTTTTAGAGGGAGTAGAGTATTCTGGTACATCTAAGCTGTACTGCAAATTATAACTTTAAAAATCAATATTTATTCTAAAACACTTAAAACAAACTAATTTAATGCTTGGCAATCTCTCTACTAAAAAAAATTGGTTATTATGCCTATTTTGAAAGCAATTTTAACTATAATTTTATTAGGTAGGGGAATCGTGATGCACCTACAAATGTTAAGATCTTTATACTATATAAATTACATAGTTAATACATTTTATATGAATAAATCAAGAAGGAACTTATTAATAACTAATATTAAGGGTATAGCGACTTAGTGAAGTGGTAGAGTTGTCATATCCCCAGATGGCAGGTCTAGAGTTCAAATCCCACAGATAATATTTTTGAAAAAATAGCTCTGTGATATGGTTAATGGCTATTCAATGATCGGTAGGATCTAGAAATCTGTAATCTCAATTACTTCATCTAGAATGGGAGCCTTGGTGTAATAAATCTAAAATATCGGAAGAACCAAAAACCTGTTTGGCAAGTCCCAAGTTGGGAGATAGCACAATTTTTGACAGTACTACAAGAAGACCGAATTTGAAACCAGGGACTGAGATCAGAAAACTAAGCGACCAGGTCCTTAAATGAGGAGACATACTAGCCGAACCACTAGGTTGCCAAACTAGAGAAAAAGGACATATACTCTGGAAGCATATACCAAGGAAAGGAAGACCATATAGATACCTAAAGTCTAGGTAAACTAACCCTTCCGGGTTGTTAGCTAGAAGTAAAGGAGAGATCAATAAAGAATCCAAGAAAGAAGGAAAGTCTGAATGTGAATGCTGGGTTGTGCAAACCCAAACACAAGAGCAAAAAATATATAATGATTACTAAAATAAAAAGATTCTTATCAAGTTCATAAAGTAGCACATGGCAATTCTCATGAATATATATTTGTTGCTCTAACAATTTTGGCTACTAGTGATTATATCTCTCTATTATTTATATATAAAAATGTTCATGCAATTTCAAATTTGTTAAATAGTACTCTAGCTAGCAGTGTTATAGAATTTACTAACTCAGGATATATATGCAAAGTTTTTTCAAATATATATTGAATATTTTATAAATTCTATTTTGTCTAGTTGATCTGTTCTTTTAATACTAGATAGATACAAAAGTCATAAATTATATAAGTGTTAACTTTTGTTATAAAAATAAAATTCTATTATATGCACTTCTACTTCATACTACAGTACTCACATTCTAAGCTTATTTTTGCTAAACTCAAATACAGTAATAGTTGTGACAAACTCCACAGTAAAATCAATAAATTAGTAACTAAACACATATTTGCAAAAATGTTTGGGCCAGCATTTATCAAGACTTATACTTCTGAAGCAATTATCAATGCTTATATAGCTATAAGGATTTGGCCTTTTAACTCTAATACTATAAGCCCAGATTGTCTTGGTCCTTCTTTATCAACTAAACGAATTAATAATTTATCTTTATCACAAGTTGAACAAATTGATAATTTATCTTCATCTACACAAGTTGAACAAGAGTTGCCTTTACCAAATAACTTATTATTCATTCAACTAAATAATCATTCTAATAATTTATTTTATCTAAATAATTCTACTTGGGTTAGTATTACTAGAGTAAATAAACTTTTAGCAGAAATTGATTTATTAAAAAAGAAAATATGACTATAAAATGAATTTACCAATCAGTACAAAAAGAACTTGAGATATTTAAAATCCTAGTACTTATTCATTAAAACTATCTCTTAAATATCCTACTTTAAGAGTTTCAACACAAGTTGAATCAGAGTCTATTTAGCCAAAAAAAAGAAAAAATTTTCCATTTACTTAACTTCTCACTAATAAGGAAAGTCTACAATAATTGAAAAAAGCAAATAAGTCAGCAAAAAAAGAAGACAAAAAGTACAAAAAAAAAAAAAAAGAAGCAGCCAAAAAAAAAACTGATCAGGAAGCTAAAAAAGCACAAAAAAAAGTTGAGTTAAAGCAAAAAAAAGAGGAACATTTATATAAAAAAAAAAATTACTATTAGTAATTAATATATAACAAATTGCGCAATTTTTAATATTGGTTATTTTTTTTTTTTAAAGTGACCTCTATGGCCAGGGCTTTTTATTAGATAATTAACAATATTTACAATTATGATAAAGGTACAACTAGCTATATACACAACTTTTGGTTGTCTATTTTAAGTAGTCCATCTGAGTTCTATACTAGCTGCCATACCTGCAATCTAACTAGAAAATTACCTATTTAAGCTCACTGGCTTTTACAAGTAAGAGTACAACTAGCCATACTTGCAACTTTTGGTTGCCTATTTAAGTAGTTTGCCCAAGGTTTCACACTAGCTATCATACCTACAACCCAACTAGAGGATTATCTATTTAA